CCAGCGGGATGCACGGGAAAGGCAGCGCGTTTCGCCAGCACCCGGGAAGTCTGGTCTCAGGGAAAAGGATTTCATCCCTCCCCGAACTGAAGGACAGCTGAGCCAGCACCCAGCACCTACACCGACCCCTGCCCCGGCCGCTTCGCAGGCTGCACGCCGGCGGTGCTCGCAGCGGCACGGCACGGCACAGGGCTGCCTTCCCGGCTGACGCTGGATCTCCAGGAGCAAACCCAGCCCCACGCCAGCATCGGCAGCATCTGCATGAGGTACGGGGCATCGGCACGCTTTCCCATGCCAAACTGATGCGGGGACACCATGCTTTCAGGGGCAGGGCTGGAACAGGTGAAATAACTAGTGTTACTTCTGCTGCCATGCTTCACAAAATAGTGTAGGATAATTAAGCTTTGTCTAAGCTGCTTCCAAAAGCAATCCTGAAGCATTCCCACTGGCGTGCCTGAGATGTCAGGATTGTAAACTGGGCATGAACAAGCTCTCTGCTGTAAGAAACCTAACAGAGCTGGGACTGGAGTTGGAAAGAGATGGAGCCTTGTTTAAGAGCTGGTTCCTTATCTAATGCACAGTTCCTTATTTAATACACACAGACACTATCTCCTGGGGTATTTTCCTGGCTACATCTGTGAAGGGCAGGGCTGGAGGATCACTACCTGTAGGAGAGCACCGACTGCCTGGGACGCCCCCGACCCCAGTGCCTGAAGCTGCAGCTCATGCACACAGCCATTTGCTACGGCCAACCTGGCGATAACACTGAAGACACAAGAGGGTTGGCTCCCTTTCTGGTTATAGCAGGGAGGAAAAATAAAAAAGCCACCAATAATAATTTGTTAGATAAACACCAGCCTCTTACTGGAACAGGTTATCCTGCCTGCATCGTGATTTACTCGCCCTCCCAGGCCGGCCTCTCCTACCTGGTTCTGGAAGGATTTTCACCTTCCGAGATCACAGCATCGTTTAGGTTGGAAAAGACCTGTAAGATCATCAAGTCCAACCGTTAACCTAACCCTGCCATCCCACCACTAAACCATGTCCCTAAGCACCTCATCTGCCCGGCTTTTAAACACCTCCAGGGATGGGGACTCGACCCCTTCCCTGGGCACCCTGGTCCAGTGCTTGACAACCCTTTTGGTGAATAAATTTTTCCTTATGTCCAGCCTAAACCTGGCACAACTTGAGGCCATTTTCCCTCGTCCTAGATGTTTCAGTTCACTGGTTGGTGTTTTACCGGAGCCAGAAAGCCCGTTCACAGGCATATGCTTGCAGCCATTCAACTGTTCCCCCAACACCACCACGCACCGGCCGTTGCCACTTGGCGCTTGCTGGCGAGGATCCCTCTCGCAGCTTCCCTAGGGATGAAAATCCTCACTGCCCGTTCTTACATCACGCTAAACCTCTTACATCGCACTGAACCTCTGTGCTTTCCTAGCGCTGCCACCTTCACCTTCGTTTCTGCCGCCGAGCACTGGCACATTTACAGAGCTAGGAAGCAATTTCCCCATCAAAATAGTTATCAAACTACAATTGCTTGTGAAATTAAATAAATTACAAGTCCTTATACACTAAATAGAAAAAAAAAAAAAAGGGAAAAAAAAGGAAAAAAGAAAAAAAGACCACTGTGATGGCTCCTTTGCTTATAAAGGTACTCACATACAGTTGTGATCCAGTCTTGCAAGGTGCAACCTGAATGGGAATTAAAGGCGGTCAGACACGGCAGAAACAGTCCTTTAATGAATCGTGAGGAGTAACCAGCTCCCTGCGAGTCGCGGCAGATCCTCATGGCGGGGTTAGCGCGGGCTTGACAGGATTTTCAGCGCGTAACAGACAAGGAAATGCCACCACCGTTTAATCAGTCAGGATATACAGTTACAAGGCAACTTAAAGATCCTCATTTGTCTCAATTTTCAAACCCAGGATTCACCCCCCGCAAGTGAACTGCCAGCTCAGCTTGCGTAAGGGCTTTTAACCGCATCTTGCAGCTCTGCCTGGGAGCACTTTAGATTCTGATCAGTGTGAATTTAAAGCAAGAAGAATAAACACTCCAAGCCAGAGCTACGCACTTGTGGTACCAAGCCCGGCAGCCTCAGCAGTCGGCGGCAGGCGAGAATCATTGAACGGTGCAGAAATGCCAGATGTCGCAGGGTGAGACAGTATAGCAAAGCCCATAAATACTCAAAATTATTTTTCCAGCATACATTTGTGATTCATAAAATGTGGGACCGTAATGAATTTCAAACGCCACATAAATGTTCAAATACAAGATTTTTCTCTGCGCTTTCATAATGTTTTAACAATTTATGTCTGGCTTGCATAAAGTTCGCATTTAACTTGCAAAGGTGTGACTAAAACCCCAGGCTTTTAACCAGAATTACTGAATAAAAAATAACGACTGCATTTTCAACTTTTTTTCCAAGTGAGAGGTGCTGTAAGGCCACAGTATGTTAGAGCCGCTCCAGCGAGGGCGGGAGAGGGGGCAAGTTTTTCTCTGAAAAATTTTCAGAGCCGCAAAAGCTTTTGAACGAGGAATCCCTCTGGGGCAATGAACTTCATCTGACAACGTGAAGGAAGCACAAAAAAGAAAAAAAGTGCCTGTTCCCCAGCATTTGAAATGTGGGAACATTCAGTAAGATCTTTATTTTCTTTTTAAATACCGGCCTTTTCCATCTGACACAGACGAGGTTTGCTAAAAGGCAGACCTGGGATCCTGCCGCATGGCTCCTGGGGTCGGCGTAGCTCAGGGGCATCTTCCCATCTTCCCAAACCCCTTCTGCGCTTACGCCACGGGCACGGGTCCATGCAGTTGCAACTCCTACCCCCGACAGACCAGCGATGTGTCCCCACTCCAGCTACGGTTTGCAAGATAACCCCCTTGTTATGACTAATTCAACCTCTCCTCCCCTTCCCAAATCACAGCATTCCAATAACTGTCTTAACCAAGACAGGAAAACATTTCAGGACAAACTAATTTAAGTCCTAAAAGATACCAAACATCACCAATTCTCATGGTTTTCATGTGTAAATAGGTACTTTTAAGCCACCTCTCTACTGTAATCTCCAGATGCCATTAATGTATTTTGAAACACGTTGTGAAGTAGGAACTATTAAGAAGGCTGAAGAAAACGCTACGTTTTAAGATTTAGACCTTCAGTTCAACCAGGACTAGGGAAAACTTGAATGGATGTCAGTAACTCTCAAAGGGGGTTTATATTTTTCTATCTTGCTTTTGCGTTTCCTCTTCTTGGAGATGCATCGGGTATTCTGCAACAAGTCGTCCCAGGGACAGTACAGGTTCTCAAAAAAAGCCTATACACAAATATGATCTAGGACATCGACAAACACAATCAGACTGTGGAGTGCACTGAGAAAAAAAGCTCTTTGGAACATCAACCGTAACATTTCAGAAGTATAGTATAATCACCATCAGTGTTCTAACACTTGTTATCAAGAATTCTGATTTACAAATACACATTTGTGATCATTTGATCTAAATTACATCGTGTAAATTACTAATATTTCAGGTCTGCTATTAACTACTACAGTTGTAGCTGAGCACGCCATGGATGGACAACAACGCACAGTACTTGGAAAAGTACAGAAGCATGACCCAAACTTCAAAACCACAGAAAAACCTGTCAAAACAGGCTGGCAAAAACTTCATTATGTATTAAGCACTGAGCAGCGTTAAATCCGAGCATACCGTGGAAGAATCCATGCGCAGACGTACAAGAACCGTGTGAGCTGAGGGACCAAAACGCACGGCACAAGGATGAGGTGCAAGACAGGCTGCCACCTTCAGAATTAAACTCGACACAAAGAGGTGTTTAAGAAACAAACTCAAATGATTACTTACAAAATGGTTGTGGGTTTGGGTTTTTTTCCCCACGTGTATATGTTTAATGAACATATAATCTCCACTCTTCATTTTTGCTAAAACAGAACACAGGACAGTGCTTAAACCATTTCCTCTGAAATCTAGTTTGGTTATAGAATAAGCAAGTGTTCCAGTATTTTCCCTCAGCACTTTATCATCTCTCTTGTAGACAGGATCATGTTAACCAAAAACTCTACAAAGATAACAAATGTAGAGTCTGCCTTCGCTGTCAGAAACACTTACGGAAAATATTACTGAGAAGAAAATTTCAAGAGCACTTTAATATACAGAATGAGTGGCATAGATTTATGGGGCTTATTTTAAAGAGACAGCCTTTATTTAAAGTACTTTGTTTTGTAGATCTTATAAAGTAAACATTACAATACTTTTTCAGAAATATATTAAAATTGTTTAAATTTAAAAGGCAATTCCACTGGCTGATGGATATTTTTAAAGGAAAAAAAAAAATCTAACAGAAGCAGGCAGCTCAGCTAAAACTAAATTTTAAACATTCTGTTTTGTCATTCCATCTGCTTCAAAAAATAAACAAACAAAAGAGAAAGACATTTTTCACCCAGACTTCCTTTACAGCAATAAGGCAACTCCAGGAGATCTGAACGAGCTTCTTGGAGATTACAGATACTGTAACTGGCTGCTCCTCATGCTTTATAACACCCAAAGGTGCAACTATCCATTAATCACAAACACATTTGTGCATTAAAATATAAAACTTAAATTACAGATTTTAAAAATATTACTAATAGACTTCCCTATCATAAAATGTTTTACATTTACAGTACTTGGAACTATTTCAGTTCTGGGTTGATGAGGTTTAAGCAATTTACCACTGCAAGAGTTAGCCTCCGGAGCTCACAAACAGCACAACCCAACCAGGGGCAGCAATAGTCGGTAGAGTCATAGTGCAAATCAAAATAAGGAGTGCAGAATTGCACTAGTTGTTTACATTTCTAAAATATAAATGAACAAGACGAGATCTTATATTGTACATGCAATAAATTATAGTAAGCATATGACAACGGGGCTGGGGCGTTCTACAATTTTAGCTGGTGTACCAGAGTTGAAGCCTGTGAAAGATAGGACTCTGTAAACAAAACATTTCAAAGCTCTGTTCTCATAGCACTGGAACTATGCTTTCATGCTTTGTACTTCTGCTTCCCCGTCTCGCTGATCACACAGATGTGCTGAAACAAAATAAAATAAAAAGGCTCCTGTTAGAAAAGTAACATAAGTGACCGATGTTTTACGTATGTATTCAATAAAGCACTTCTGAAAAAAATACGAGCATGCCAGACATGTTTCAGTACAGAAGAATCTTGTGATACTGTTTATGCAGAACAACTTAAGCAGTTTTTTTTTCCCCTAAAAATCTCAACATTGCCTTCTTTCTCCTCCCTCTAATTATTCCACCCAGTATCTGATGTAAGGTTGGTAAGACCCAGATGAAGAAGTAATAACTTAGAATAAAAAGTGAACCCCTTTTAAATGCCAAGGTCTCTCTTCTCTCGTTCTTACATAACTAAGCAAATGCACTTATTTGTCATAGACATCTGGTAAGATAAGAAACTTCACACAAACTTCACATTATTTCAAAGTTGACAGGAGATGTATAGCCTCCATTCTGCATGTAGCAAAATAAATTTTAGTTTCTTAAGAGCTCCAAAACGCTGTCCTGCTGCTCTAGGGTTTGCTCTCATCGTTGCATCACCAGTGGAACAGATTTGCACATGAGGCATGATTTACAGAGGAGGGAGAGTGATGTGAGAGACTTCCCTTCCTTCCTCCTCCCTAGTTTTAAACGGACAAAAACATACGGGAAAAATTACTTACGTTCAAATCTCTAAAGTATTCATTGTAATCTAGGGCGTATCCCACAACAAATTTGTCTGGCACTTCAAATCCAACAACTGAAAAAGACCATAAGTCACCACTATGTTAGAAAATAACTTCCTAGAGCTCACTAGACCTTTTTACAGAGACAATCTGGAATTTTACAGATATGTATGCATCCTAACTCACTTTATTTCTTCCACTCAAGTATCCTCAGATTAATATTTGAGCTATTTTAAAATTTTAACTTACTTTGTTGATTTATTTCATCAACTCAAGCAAAATTAAATAGATGTATTTATTGGTTCCCACGCAGCAGCATGGTGCTAGCATGCAGTCTGCAAGAAATGAATGGAAGCACTTAAAACAGACAGGGTGTTATTATCGGAACATAAAATTCCTTGAAAATTTCCTGCAACTTTGTAAACACGTAGAAAAAGAGCTGATACTTCCTGGTGCTTCCTGCATGCTTGATGCGCCACTGCAGCAGCAGTGGAACTGGTGAGCGCAGCACAAGTCAGCCTCATGGCACCATTCGAAAGGCAGCACCTCTGGGAGCTGGCCCTGCGCCTCGGGTAGGGCTGCAGGAAGGGTACCCAAAGGCGTAATGAGAAGGCAGGTTCAGTTGTCAGCTCCTTCAAAACTATGGGTGTGCAAGTCCAAGGAGACTCTCCCTGAAGGGCTGGGAGAGCGAGCACAGCATAATGTGAATATCAGAACCACAGCTACTGCAGGGAAACCAATCCTTCACCCAGATGAACTCCACTCTCGTGACTCGCAGGCCATGACCTGATAGGCAGGAATACGCTATGACTGCAGGACAGCTCTGCTAAACCACATCTTAGACCCTGATCCCTTGGTACAGAGAACAGTGAAGAGCAAAGGGCACTCTGTCCTTCACAGAGTCACTTGCAGGTTTCAGAAACAGATAGGGGATTTTGTTGAGTTGCATTGGCTTTTTCTTCTCCCAGAGAAGCTGCCTAAAAAGAGCGCATCAGCTATTCCACAGATCATCTGAACGGCTCTAGCAGGACAGTTTGCGGGTGGTGAAGCAGTACCAGTCCAACCTGTCTACACACACTATAAAATGACATAAAGCATAAAGTAATATAAAATTTCCAAACGTCTTTCTCCCCTCATGCTAAAATGAAAGACGACTGAGCACAAGAAAGCTGCATGGTTTTTCTCTCCCTGGCTACAATGAGACTCCATAAGAAAAACAGGGAAATAAATCATATAATTCAAAGGAAAGGCTGTGTGCATTTTTGGAAAAATTAAGGCGATGTTTAGCATCTACTTGGCCTCATAACACAGGGATAAAACAGAGGCCCAGCCATTACTGCTTTGTTGTCTCTTCTTTCAGAGCTCACACGTCCTGCACTGAACAGGTTGTCTCTGTGGACAGATGGCAAAACAAGTCATCTGCTGCAAGATGCTCAAAAGGAAGACCGTTAACCCAGCTAAGCCTATAATAAGATCTCAGGAATGAGGGGCATCCTTGACCGAGGGGAACACCTCAATCAAGCTTTTAAGGCACTGAAAAATTACAGTTCCAGAAAATTATACAATCTTGGAAAGGAGGAGTAAGAGGATGTGATTCTGCTGCTAAATTCACTCCACTTCCATAGTGAAAGTACATGGTCCCAGTTAAGAGCAATTTAGCCTCTGGAACAGGGTTAAAACACATAGCCCTTCCCCAGGCAGGAGGAGCCGTCACTCTGGTACCACTGTCTGCTCTGGATGCTATTCCTTTCTTTATCATCTTGGGACAGACAGGAGAAGACAAGAAGAGAGTAATTCAGATGCCTAGACATAACTGGTTTTGTGCCAATTTATGCATCTTATCACTGTAAACTTTTATCAGACCTGTTACCCTGTGTAGTCCTCCTACATTCCTGGGGACATCCAAATGGCATGAGGTTTAGACACCCGAGTCACTCCCAAAAGCATCAAAGGTGAATCCAGCAGATTCTGCTGACCAAAGCATGGGTCTACATGCAAGCGGGGAGAATTTGCACATGAAAAGGGTCTAACCCAGACCAAAATACCAAAGTTTGCTTTTCATATAGTAAAATATTACAAAAAGTTAAAATCAGACCAAATCCAGATTAACTCTGTCAAAATACATTCCAAACATTTTAAATCCCTAAATAAGAGCAAAATCTATCATGAATCATTAGTGAAAACTTATTTGGAATATCCTTGGGCTTTGACCAAAGGGTACACAATACATTGACATACTTTTAAAAATTAATAATTGTTGTCAAAAAGTCACTTACAGTCTGGTCGATATCCCACACTTCGAGGAGTTCTTTTTACCAACAAACTGTCAAATAAAACCAATGTAAAACTGAAACATGGAGAAGCAACCAGGTACAAATATATGAGCCTGTTTTGATGACAGACAAGCTGAATTTGGCCTAAATGTGCATAACTACACAGATTTTAATCTATTATTTTTTTTATTTGCAAGTGCAGCTGATCATGACAAAATTAAAACTTCCTAGAATCATGAATGGTTCACAGCCTTAAGGACAACGGGTCTGCAAGAAAGAGGCTAGAAAATACCGATCTGGATGGATTTTCTTTGTGAAAAGTGACTTAATGGGGTTTTATGTGTGTTAGGAATTGCAGGCGCAATTTAGCTTATAGGTAAAAAAGCAACAACTTGGGATCTGGCCAGACCAACTGAGCTCTTTTCAAAAGCATTAGTATTATGGAGCAAAAGTTCAGCTGCTTAAATGCAACCTCAGTTGCACTTGTGCAATGTGTCCTCAACTGCTTTTTTACTGGCAGCACTACTTCCCTCCGTAAAGAAAGTATAATTGCCTCTGATGATCAGATGATACAAACCAGCTCCACTTTTCCAGAATTAATAGTCAGAGGTGTAAAAAGCACGGAGATACAGAGTTGGGGGGTTTGTAGTAGAGAAAAATGCCTTGCTGGTTTGATTCACTCGTTATTCAGTTGAGCACTTCCACCTCTTGGAAGACAACCCCAGCGGGCCTGACATTTGTTTGTCTGTGCCATACAGAGACTTTGGCAGGATAAGAAAAGGTGGTCGATGGCTGAATGTAAAGACAGAGGTCAGCATAACTCTGTGCACTGAGCACAGATCTCCTTCCCTCCTGAATCACCCCAGAAAGCAGGGCTTAATTTGACAGAGTCACGCTTTCCTTTTCAGACAGTTACTAAAACTTCTAGTTGTGAGACCTGATTTTTGACAGTTGGTGTAGGATTTGATCAAAGAAACCCCAAAATCATATTAACATTAATTCACATCTCCCTGCAACAACGGCTTAATTGTCAGAAAGAAAGGAGAAAAAAAAAAAAAAAAAAGAGTGAGTCAAGGAAGTAACTAAGAACATCACATTTAAGGCTATCTAGAATGATCATGTTTACCTGCTCAGGTCTTTGGCAGACCCAAATTACTGCACAAGGTTTAAACAATGGGAAACTGGACTTTGCTCATATTATGTTATATTCATGATGTACACTGCAGTGTTGGGGCATTATTCAGTGACAAATATGTAAAATTTGGCACACTTAATCCAGCCAGGGAAAAGTCCTCAACAACCTCACCTTCAGCAGGTCACCTCCAGATTATCAGCAAGAAGAGCTGTTCTCGTACATCTAACAACTACTTTGACATTGTTATGGCAACACAACTGATTAGATATTACACACAGCTCTGCTTTATCTCTAATCCCCAGCAACCATTATGCTTTTATTGTAAAATACACAACCACAGCATAGCAGCGTAAAAGATGCAATTTAAAAAGAAGTAGGAAGAATGTTGATATTGGTTAATAACGTGATATTATCCTCAACATTTCTTGTTAGTTTTAAGTTATTTAATTATAAAATATTTTGAAACTAATTGATTAAAGATGTAACTAAGTAGAAAAGCCTGGAAGAGCATATGGCCGGGCTACTCTCACAGAATGACCTCTAAAGCTCAGCTGCACTACACAAAGAATAATGTTAGTGTGCAAAATTCTGCAATTAAAGAAGAAAAACTAAAAAAAAAGTCTCCATTGCACAGGTACACCACTGCAGTACACTGAAGTTGCAGATACCGCAAGCAGAAACAAACATTTTTGGATAGATACTGCATATATGTAAGTGACAACCACTGATTTTTCTTATCCCCATCTCTAGTAAAAGTCTGTATTTATGAACTAAGTTTGTGTTGAAAATAGCTCTACCAACTTCAGAGGGTTTTTTTTTTAAGGCCAAGAGATTTAAATTCTTCCATATACTTCTAAACCTGACTTGGGACTTCAGTGGTAAGACACCACAAACCTTACCATAATATGGTAAGGCAAGACATGTACCAGGCATGCACAAGCCATCCCCTTCTGAAGCACTGAAATTCTTCCAGCAGTAAGAGTGGAAAGAACAGTGTTTCTATACGTTTGTTAAGGCTGGTGTTCTCATAACAAGCAAAAGTGCTTTTCGAGTTCCAACAGATCATATAATATATGACTCCTGCAGAAATGTTCCCTCCCATTTCTCTTCCATGGAAATGTATTCTATACCTTTTGTTTTTTAACACTGTCTGTCCTTCTTAAGGTGAAATAGAGCACAAATAATCATTAAAATTTTACCTGGCTACTTTCACCATCTTTGGATTGTACTGCTTAAGTAGAGACAGCAACGTTTTCATTGTTTTACCAGTATCAATTATATCCTGAAAATAAAAATCTCAAGTAAGAAAGAATACTAAACGTGTCAAGAGTAGCATTTTAAAGTTTCTACCATAGAAATTGGTCATCCGCAATAGCTTGAAAATATGCCAAACTACTGTTCATAATCAAATATAGGTGACGTAACACTGTGCTGTGCTTACACAACTCTGCTCAGTAAAGTGATCACACACATTAACAATAGTTCTTAATTGCTGTGGATAAGGATGACTGAAAGCAGTTACTGAACTATGGCCTTCTTGGCTCTTTTTGGAGATTTTATGGCTTGTGCTCCTCGCAGCTATTAAACAAACAATGTTTAATTCAAATATGGTAAGAGTAACATCAGTCTTGCCATCGAGCTCAGTTACAGACAAAGTAGGAAGTAGGAAGGGAAAATAGGCAGAACAACCCATTACTGCAGTTAAAGAAAAGGGAGCGTACTTTACATTACAGATCCAAGAAACAACCAAAGAAATTGCACTGGGAATATCTGGGTGCAGTTCTAAAGTCCATAAAATGAATTTTGACACACCATTTTAATTCCATCCACTGTACATATAAGCAGAAAAAAGAATATATGGCTTACAACTGAAGCATCAGCAATGGACTCCTCATTTGGACTGAAATAATCACACGATCTTTAGAGGGACAGTCCTTACCCTGGCCTGAAATCAAAGCTATTTGAAGGGAAGGAGGTAAATAGCACAGAAGCAGCAATGTCCTGGTTTCAGCCTATTTTCCCATGACTCCCAATTAAAATAAAAATCAAACAAAAAACTCAGAGCACCCATCAGCTGTACAGTCTTTAACACTTCATGCTTTTAATAAACGCAAGAGAAATTAAAGACATAGAGATATATAGACAAAAATAAAAGTTCATGAATAAACAGAAGTAGCTACTTCCATACTCCAAATTAAAAATAGAACTTATTACTGATTTTGTAGTGTGTGATTATCTTTTTATTGGAGGTGAATCTCCATTTTGTTCAGGCTGTATAGAAAAGCCTAGTGCACTGGTGCACAAGATATTAAACCTACAACAAATGCGCATTTTTATTGTTTGACGGTTAAAACTGTAATCGGTAAAAGGGTTCGTATTTGACAGTGCGTAAGACAAGTCACTGGATAGATGACTCACTGACAAAGGAGAAACTAACCTAGTTAGCTGTCTGGGATTTTAAAGACATACATTCATCTGAAATGGAGCAGATACATAATTAAATGCAGCTGCCTATCTGAAGCAAAATGTACTTCAAAGGACACCACTGGTCACACAGATGACTGCTGTATACATACTATTTTGGTAGGAGTTTTGGAACTGAATGTGCTTCCTGTGGAATAACGTAACCTTCTCAAACTTAAAAAAAAACATACATAAAAAACACATTTTGTGAGAGGAAACATCCTTCCCTTTGGCTGCTGAATCAGTTGCCATAGCCGTTTTGTTGCTTACAAACACGCCATTTCCATTATTTGGAGCCTCAAGACATTATTAGATGGCACATCCATTTTTCCTGTCTACTGCTGCTGCTTCCCGATCCTGAAATTGGCAATCTTACTCAAGAACATCCTTTGTCAAAGCGATACTTACTGAGCATAAGCAACACTGTCCATCAAGAAAGACGTACGAAAACAAGAATTAAGCAACAGTACTTACTAGGAAATCAAACTGACGTGTACTGTACCTGGTATCATCCAAAGAACCACAAGACAGAGGAATGGAAATTTAGCAATTGCAAAATGCTAATTAGGAATTAACGTTTTCTATATCACTATTCTCTAAACAAATTATATACAGAGACATTTGGCTTAGATCTGTTTTTCACATATTTTAGGGTATTCCTAGTAGGAGCCTCTTTTTACCCCTGCAGTTTCATTTCCTAGCTTGCTGTTACAAACTCAGAACAGTAATATGCTTAATATCACTTTGTTCAGGCTACATTTTAAAATTTAAAAATAAAATAAAAAAAAAAAAAAAAGAGACAGATATTTTAGAATTGACAGAATCCCAGAAAATTGAAAGTAAATTTTACATGGATATCTTCCTTGTTAAATTTGGCAATTGAATGCAATTTGAGAATTCAAAACACAGATCATTTCAGATTCAGAGCCCACTCGCAAAATTCAGGCCTGGAATCAGAAGCTGGAAGCCTTGAAACCAGAAACTAAAGGTTTTCTGGCTTAAGAACAAATTCTATAAGAACTCTTTTAGCAGTCACACATTAGAACTTCAAAGTGAAACAATACTTCAATACTTACTTCTACAATCAAAACATTCTGGTGGGAAGAAAAGAGGAAAAAAAAAGAAAAATCAGTTAATATCTATGAAGAATTTGCCATTTCTTTTTTATATATATAAGAATCTCTAACACATTAATTTTCATTGCAGTTAAATATCTGTACCACCATTTATGTATGCTTACACGTGCAACAGCAAATTCTATGTAGTTAACATTTCTGATGCTCTAATAACAATTAGCAGACAATGAGATTCTCCTTTATGTCTCATGCTGAGTACAAATTGGTCTTTAAATAACTTAGACTTCGAGAATTCTAGATATATGCAAAAGAGATCACGCATTCTTGTAATGCGAAGAGTGTCACTACAGAGGCACGTACAATTCTGTCATACCTACATCCTTGATATTGAACTGTGACATACATGCCTTACAGATCACGTATGTGTAAGGAGAAGGGGAAAGTAGTGTGTTCCGACGGAGCAGGAGGCACCAATGCTTTAAACCCAGACATCTGGCTCAATGAACTCCACAGAGTCACTGGAGAAAAGCAGATTCCCAATTTACGTTCTCCCATTTCCTTCTCCCTTCGCTGCCTGTAACAGGCACCTCAGTTCCTAACCTGGGCTGCATGTTACACATCTTGACAATATGAATTCCCATCACTACTTCGGTGAAATGCCAATACAGCAAATAAATAAAGCTGCTCTCTTTTAAAGGTAGTTTGTAGACAACTACTCACACAAAATTATTCTTCTCAGGCACTGCAGAAAAACAGATCTAAAACTTGCTGATACTAAAAATGGTAAATAGGGGCGGGTTTTTTTGTTAAGTTCAGACTAAACTGATGGCTTTGGTGGGGCTTATCCTCTCTACTAGTATACAGTGGCGAATATTTAAATGAAACTCTTCCGTTTTCATTTTTTTTAAACTCTATAATCACCACACACTAAAAAAGCAGCCTTAAAATCATGCAGGTATGCGGGTCCTTTAGTGGCTTTGTTTGTTTGTTTTTAAGCACACAAAAAGCCATACCTTTCCAGTCAAGGTTGAGAGGTCATCCCCACCAATGACTTTTATATCTCCAGTTGACTGATCATTCTAATAAGAAAGAGGAGGGTGAGCATTAGCATTACCAGAATTAAAGTCATTTTTCTTCCAGTAAATACCAGAACTGCAGAGTACATAACCAGTGAATGTTAATGCTTTTAGAAACACGGCACTAACAGCATCTATTAACTAAGAAATTAAATGATCAAATGCAAAGATGGTATTTCAGATTAAAGATTGCTTGACAAGAGATCTGCATAAATGCAGGCACCATCTCTCATCTGTGACCATTATATATACATATGTATCTAAAAAGATATGATTTGCTATGCATTCCCTACAGATATGGAAATAAGACAAAAAGCACTTCAGTTTCCAAGCTGCATGCTGCTATATAGCTGGTAATTTACATTTGAAACTTTAATGCTTCAGAAGGCCTTACTCTTTGAATAAGAACAAGCAATCATAACAAAAATAGCCAGCAAACAAGGCACAGATTAATATTTAAAAATATAAGCTACAAAAATAGCCAGAAAAGCTTATGTTTGCCTAGTTTACAACAAATATTAGTAACGATCAAATTACTTCCTACAGTAATTGAATAGCAACGTAGTTACACCGTCACTACAACACAGCATTTTGCTTCAGTAAAACTAAACTTTGAGACAAAGGTAAATGAACCGTTATATAAGAAAGTTAGAAACAGCTGCCAGGAGTGCTTCACAGATCTTTGCAGTTTATTTAAAGTCATTCAACTGACTTTCAACCTTGACAGTGTCTCACAGTTCATATTGGATGAGATATGCTTCTTATTGTACTACTTACAGATGATGACATTCTCCTACAATTTATCACTTCAGTCAAAGGTTAATACTGCTTATCAAACTTTATTCTCATCATTCCTTACCACGTCTTCCTTTTAGAAAAATGGTGGCATTTTGCTGCTGCACCTTGAAGCCCAAGCATGCTGCACAACTAAGCAGACACGCAGCAAACCAGCAGTTCCTTCCCAAAACCCAGAACTGACAGATGCAGCAGGGAGGGGACCACGAGGGAACAGACATAGCCATGTACAGCTTCCTGTTTTTACAGCCGTGTGAAGACGGATATTGGTGCTATATGAATTGTAGGCAAAAACTAAAAATGTTACCACAAAAAAGGGGAAACAAATGATTTAGAGAGGCACACACCAAGTACACAGTAAGTAATACCGGGATGATATTAAAGAGAAAATGTATTAAAATCCTTTGGACAGTGTCAACAGTCTAGAATAAAAAAGTGCTGACAGCTCTAGGCAAGTAAAAGCAGGTAAAACTGAAGAGATACTTTTTGTAATAATTTATTGTTTGGTTTTTTTTATGTTGTGTCATAGGAATCTTAAAAGAAAAGTATCTTTTCAGTTTTACCCCATATGTTTTAAAGAAAACATTAGTTTGAGTTATACCACTCTGAAATTACATGCACACAAGTGCCATGTTGCATTACTATAAGGAACATTCATTTTTGATAAATAGTCAACTGCTTCAGTGCTTCTGTAACAGCGCAGACAATAACTAAACTGAACAGCATCAATGTCACTGTGCTGGAAAAGTCCAAAACCAAAGACGTCCAAAATGACTGCTGCTTGACCCAGTAGATACACACATCTAAGGAATGCCTGAGATGCTGGCTAGATCAACCACAAAAATGCGATTCAGTTAAGCACTGTATTCATAAAGCTAAAGGACACTCCCTGTGTTCACCCTATCTTAAAATTATCTTAAATGGCAGCTTCTTCAAGCTTTTCCTCATTTATGTTACAGGATTCTCTTATCTATTCCTAGACTAACAGGGATTTCATCCTCCTTCCATGGAAGGATGTAAAAAACCGTAATTCCTTACAAAACAATGATGGAGAAAGATGTTACAGGTATTTGTTCCATTAAAATTACATGTACAGGTGACCCACTCTTACTCCTTGGCACATGCATAAGGTCCCGTTCCTGATGACCTGTCTGGCCACAAAGCAACACGCTACACTCAAACACCACCACCACAAAACTGTAGGTTACTGCAAACCTTTGGATTATGTTTATTAAAGTAAAGTATGATGATCAGGAGAGAAAAAACAATCTAACCTACAGAAACTTTCCTGCTCCTTTCCACCAAAATTGCTACACTTTTTAATGCAAAACGCAAATCTTCCTTGGCATATAAACCTGCATTCCTATGCAGGTACTGAGTTCCTGAGCAATTAAAAAGCAGTTAAAGAATTTCCAACACTGGTTGTAACCAGATTTCCATTGGAAAGAGCTTTGTTTAATAATTAAGCAATGTTTTAATTATCTTCAGGAGCATTATTTCTGATTTCAGTACTGGTAAGACTTTAATGCTTTCTGGTTTAACACATAAGAGTTTTACTGTTTAGATCTGTTTTCGCTGCCTCCCTGTTGTCACTGCTGGAAAACAATAATGCTTTACAAGATCCTAATTACTGACTCAAGTGACTCCAAGATCACCTTTTAAAAAGGCATTTTAAGTTCCTTACAGTATTTGCTATAAGGCTTGGTTAACAGAGATCTTTCAGAATACTGCTGTGACCAGCCTAGCCAGAGTTTACTCCACTATTTTCTCAAGTGAGAGTGCAACACATCCACAGTCTTTTGGCTGCCCTTCATGACTACATAAGCAACATTTGCTCATTTCCAGGTTTAAATGCAGGAGACTGGTGAAAAGCCGTTCTTCTTGTACCACAAACAAAATAAACTGTTTGTCAAGACTACCGAGATCTGGGTCTGTTCACAAACACTATCTTTCCATTTCTTAACAGCTTGCCAGATCATTAAAATTCATCTGTAAGGACTCAGAAAGCTGGAGCTACGAGCAAAGTTTAATCACAGCTTGATCATGTCAGTATTCTTAGAGAATTATTTTTGGGTGCAGAACAGTATGAACTTTGCATTGCAACACAAAAAAAACCCCATACGCTTGTAAATATTAAATGATCAGTTTGAAACAAGAATAGAACCTCAATTACATCAATTTCGGAACCATTACACAAGTTCAGCTGCTTTGTTTATGTGACCAGGGTATTTTTAACATCTTTTATCCAGTCTGTAAAGGCAGGCATCGTGATCTAGTAATCGCATCCAAAAACAGCGACAAGAGAGCTAGCTCCACTTTTGACTGTCCATTACAGTGTATGATGGTTTTCACATCACTAAACACAGATCCCTCCATCTAGTAAAGCACAGATAAAAACTACAGAGCGGATTTAGCATTCTGACACTATTAATGATGGAAGACCCAGTCAATCTGTTACATACGTGTTCATGTTAGGACAATCTTATCCAGTCTCTCAAGCTATGCAATCTAAACGACATAAGTCTGGATATTAATAACCACCTAGAAGAGCCCACAGAAATGAAATGCTCGTAAATACTGTAGTGGAGGCATCAGGTAACAGGCGCTCCTCACTCATCTAGAACAAGAAAACATTCTTTTATAGAATTGGCTGACAAAACCAAAAACTCTGAAGCCAACACCTCAAGGAAAACATTCTGCTTCGACAGCTTTCAGTCCAAATTTCTGTGCTTTTCTCTTCATCTACTTGTTTTTACTACAAAACCAGGCTCTTAATTTCCATGAAACCTATTTTGCTGCTCACTCCACCATTAATATCAAGGCATGGTAGTTCTGGGGAACAATAAACAAAAGCAGCTATAGTAAAGAAATGAACCAAAGCATGCCTAACACCAGCATGAGCAAAGAAAACATGCATATAGTAAGACAGCCTTGCTTTTTAAGTTTTTTTTTGCAGGTGTTTCAAACCATTTCTCAAAAACCTTTTTCTAAGTTAGTCAGAATGTGGAGAGAGTGAAAGGGTGTAGTCTTTACACTGTTTTTTAAACAAGACAAGTAAGTTATTGGAAGTGTTCCTTAAAGAAACCAGAAGATAAGCAATTTCCTCACCAAAAAAAGGTGAGAGCCATCATTTCCTATTCTTTAACATATTATCCTGTAATAGACATATTCTGCTTTCTGTTGTGGATTTTACAGGCAGAATATTATGGGCATGTGGCAGCTTAGTGGTTAAGAGGACTGGTGGCAGACCCTGAATCTTTTGGGGGGAGCAGAAGGAAAGGGACAAGCAGCTGTCGCCCACTGATCTAAATACACTGCACAAACCCAGAGAACGCCTGGTGAGATACAACCAAAGGCTGGCACGAACCTTTCTGCCCAGCCTTGCCTGCTCGTTAAAGAGCATAGCTAAATTACTGCCTCGTGTTCAGCAAACAGGAACGTGGTTTCCAGGTAACCCCTAGACGGCCAGCCGTGTGTATGCCTCAGGCAGCCAGGGCTCATCCTGCAAATGGACTTGACCAAAGCCTCATGCGGTTCTGGGCTTCGCCATGAAATGTTAACAGATTGCTCAACAGCAATCATGAATGTTCTTCGACAGTCCGAGCTAAGTCTGCAAGTAACTCCATCTCTGGTTTCACAGTTTAATGAAATGAAGGATGAGGTTGAGTTTCCAATTTAGTAATCTCTATTTTTTTCTACTGGAATAGGCACTCGTCTACAACTGTGACAAGTAGCCTATACTGCTGACTTGAATGCAAAGCTGCTGAGACAGAACTAACAGCGTAACCGTACAAAACAATTTACTCAAACACTCTAAACTGAAACAAAACCATGTAATAATTTCCATGCTACAGATGGTCTTACGGAACAAAGCATAAACACCATCCTGAAAACACGAGACTGTGCTGTCGGTCAGTCCGGAAGCGTGCAGTACTAACACACATCTGCTTCTTCCTTTGACCTCCACAACACAACCTTGTGCTTCCTTCCATAAAACTTACATGTTACCCCACGTTACAGAACGTTCAATTTCCCTATAAAGTTAAATCCTTCTGTTCAGAATGAAAATATTCTCCAAAAATGTAAATCCAAGGCAACCTATGCCTAGTCTTGAAAAGGTAAAGCCATATTCAGTGGCCACTAATCACGAATCGAGGTTTACGAATCTAGTTATTTCCTCAAGGCCAAATACAATTAATTTTGTTGATTGTTTGGTTGAGCCAAACAAAAGATGAGACAGGGAACTCGGCTATAACCGTCTTTGCAGCTTTCAAGTCTTCCGGTCCAATGAATAATGTCTAAGCCACATAAAAATTCCTAGAATTAAATGTTTGTAACCATAGCTGCAGAAGAATCCTTTGTATTATTCTAGAGCTACAGCTTTAAAGACAGGGTAGTGGGCAGAAAGGAAACTGTTTAACAAGTAAAGGACATGGAAAGGATCTCTCTGCTCTTGCACAAGGATTTTACTGGGCTGCGGAGACATCATGGTCTAAAAGAAAACATTATATAATAAGGTAGAGAAAGAGTAAATTAGCTTGTAAATTAATCCCATTGACTATCGGTTTAATATTAGCACATTCTGGCAGTAACAATATTAAACTACCTCTGTTAATAATTTGTAGTCAAATTTATATAAAAATTGCACATGACCACGGAGATACTTACACAATAACTCTTCAACCTAATGAAGTCGACAGTCATGGGGATTGATTTGTCACTGTTTCTGTTCAGTGCTTTGATGTAGTCTAATAAATCAGCAAAAAATTTATAGCCACCCTTGAGTACACAGAGTGCTACAATGTGGTGTCCTCCCATGCCCTTCATAATTTCTCGTGCCAGTCTCTCCGTCCTATACAAAACCAAGAAAGAGTTAGCTGTCGTAACACATTTCATTTGCTTACTACTAGAGCAGCAGCATTTTATACTGCTAACAGTAGCAAACACGTGCAGCAAACTTGGAAACACATTTTGCTTAGAAATATTTGCCTGCTCCTTCAGTCGCTTTTACATGTTACTGCTCAACAAAGTTTTGCTTTTCAAGGTTAATCTAACAGTAGCACTGCCAAACGCCTTTGTTTTCATACGTCACACTCAGCCAAAGCAAATCCTAACACCCTGAAGCTGTTTCACTGTCAGGTATGTGACACAGGGGCGTGTTTTCTCCTTCCAAAGATAGGTTCAGCTCCCATGCAAAGAGCAATGTAAGCTAACACAACCGAAAAAGCAGTAGCCCTCACTAAGGAGGAAGAAAACTCCCAAATTGTAAACTGAAGAGTTTATTTGCCAAGCTACAATGCCAGAAATTTGTCCTAACTGCAAAATACAATAGCAACAAAGCAGAACAAGACTGCACCGTTTTTCTGCAAGCATTGTTTCTAAATTTATCTTGTAATTTATTTTGGAAAGCATGGTATGTATTCATTGTGTGCCAGCTGACAGCAGGTTTCTCAGAGAAAGCCTACCATTATAAACTTTATATCAATTACTTAATGACATGTACTTTGTCCATTTTAATTCCTCTATGTGGACTTCCAGTGCAAAGTTTTTAGAATACTTAACAAAAAAAAAAGTATAGGAATGTTTATTATATCTAATCAGACAGGACCACGCAAAATCTAGATGCATTCCTATTCACAAGATCTCCGGGAAGATCCAGCCAGCACCACTCTTAAGCGGCTGTGCGTCTCCCACAGCTGCTTCGCTGAATTTGTTGTTCATTCTCTTAAGGTGAACTAGCAACTGGCAAACACAAAGGAAAACAAAAATGCTGTGCAGGCTTCTGAACCCACTTCTGATCACATCAGACAAAATTTCCACAGTGCATCACAGATTTCAGCAACCACAGAAGTGACAGACGGGTACCTGCAGAGGCTAATGTCTTCCCCAGAAGGTGGAAGAACATTGGGTATTACTTACCTACCATACGAACATGAGAAAGTCTAAGGTGATGTGATTAATAATTTACTTTTATTAACATCCTAAGGAAATTCAAGAGCCCAATTGTTTTCAGACTGAACTGGCACAACAAATAACGTCTTCTAATTAGGTTTTAAGAAGGTAAAACATCAAAGAAACACTGGAAGGTCATAGATTGCTACGTACCACAAAATTTTGCTTGAGAATTACGACAACTTTCCAAACAACAGCATAACTGTAAATGTACAAACTCTTAGAAGCCAAACAAGAAAGAGTTAATTACCACTTATACTTCTTAGTCTCTAATTAAATGTAATCTATTTAGACGGTCACCAGGCAGCAAAACTATCACTGGAAGATTGTTTATTCCAGTGCCATGGAAATCAGCTGGAGCAGCGTGCTGTCTGAAGTCAAACCAACCTGTCCATGATGAGCCCATGAGGAATATAGACTTTTTCCAAATCATCTGCATAATGTTTAGGTATGCAGAACAAGTCCAGGTCGTAACCTTGTTCATCATCGCCAATCTGAAAAGGAAATAAGGTGAGATTTCTACAATGCCTTATAGAAAGTCTGTGGTGAGAAACTGCAAGTCCTTTGCTTTATTCAGTAAGCTATCAAACCCATTATGCCTATCAGGATCACCTTACTTTCCCCCTCTATAAAAACATTAGTCACGCTGAACACAGCGTAAAGTGTAATCTAACATAACCTACAGTTCACAAGAGTTGCTTGAAATACCACATGAGCTGTTGTAAAATAAAATATGGGGAAGAAATTAAGTTCTAACAACTTTCTCCTACATTGGAAAGCAGAAAATGAAGCAAATATACCTCAATGAATCTCTTTATTCCATTAAAAAAAACCCAATCAACGAGCTTTTTAACACCTTTGATTTTCCTCGTGTAACGCAAAACCTGCATTTGCAATTAAGCAAGCAGGGGCTTTGACATGGACACCTTCCAAATCTCCACAACACCAAATCACAACAAAACACAAGAGCCAGTTTTCAGGACAAGACAAGACAGCTATGCGAGCATGACATGTCATGTTGCTGTGAAGCAAGCCTTCTCAGACCACCACCTGCAAACCGTGGGGGTTCAAGATCTTTCAGAATCTGAAATGAAAGCCCTACTTCAGCAACCTGCTCCGCACGGGCAAATTCCCTCTATGAAACAGCCTGCAATATTAGCAAGTGTATATTAATTAGGACAAGGGATTAGCACATGTATATAATTATACCAAAAGCTGCGGAGGTTCAGGGCATATTGTCGCAACAAGCATCAGGAATAGCCTTCCCTGAACCTTAACCCTGCTGCGACTTGAAAACGACAATGTGTTTTTTAATTACTTCACTCTCTGGTTATGCAGCTGAACGCTACTGCATGTAAAACGAAGTTAAGAATTTCAGAGGGAAAACCAAAGCTTATTACTGACAGTTCACCAGGGCAGGCATTTTAAGTATCCATTCCGGCTACCGCTGCCCTTGCAGGACACGGTCTTATTTTGGTGCCCAAGGAAGCGCTTACCTGGCCTGTGATCAGCCAACTGTTTACACGTTTTTTTTGTTGTGTAACCCCTAATGAGTACTTCACAGGGGGAATTTGATGAGTATTTCACCCTCCCATCCAAAACAGACCCTGTATGGGCTACCCACGCACCTGGCTCAGGCACTGGGTCCCTGCAATCCAGAGCGGGCTGTTATTTTAAGTAATAAGACAGGTCCCTCCCAAAACTCACAGTATTTTCCTGTGGTTCAGACTCATCATTCTATCTAGCCCGTCTGCTAAACCTTCGGTCCTGCATTTGGTAGGGAACGGGCCCTTCCTACAGATTTTATCGGGGTTTTTTTATTGACTGCAGGGATTTAGTCACAACCTCGCGGCCGGCACAGCTCTCAGCCGTAAGTCACCACGTGTATTTCACGAGCACCCGGCACTGCCTTGAAAAAAAAAATTTAAAAAAAAAAAAAAAATGAATGCGAGAGCCTTAGCAAATACGGCAACGATGCAAAAAAAAAAAAAAAAAAAAAAAAAACCCCCCGCGGTCTTTTCCCCAAAAAAACCCC